ACGGACTGGTATGGTGGTTTGGGAAGGAGATGGGTTCATGAACGTTGTGAGACGTAACACCTGGTAATGGTGGTTTGGTTGAAGGAGGGTGGATTGGGTTGATTTTTGGTGATTATAGTTTGGATTTGGGTTGCCTTTTGATGATTAGGGTTTGGATTTAGGTTGAATTTTGGTGATCAACTTACGGATTTGGGTTGAATTTTGGTGCTTAGCGTTTGGGGTTGGATTGATTTGGTATGTGATGTTTTGGCGGGTGTGGCCGGAGATGTGGGAATATGTTTTATGTTTTTGTATTCATTTTTAGAACTAAATGCTTTATACAATTGTACACAATGCATTCAAAGTTGTACAACCAAATATATTTAATAAATGAGTGAAAAAACTGACCAAATTGCTCTTTGCTTAACGGAATCATCTAACAACCGTTAGTGAGGGGGGTCAAAACCGATTAAAAAAATCAAACTACAACAGCAAATTTGTATTAAATAAACTCTAGAGACCAAAACCAAGATTCTTTTGACAAACCACAAGGACGAACATTGAGGTTTGCTCTAAGTTATATTATATTAGTAAGTATAATCACGTTTTTATTTACTAGTTTARGTTAGTTCATTTTGTATATACAATATCAAACATGTCATTTATATAWATATTTTATTGAATATAATAAAACTATTCTTGATTTTATATTAGATTAGAATCAAATGGACATAAATCTAAAATTATATATGTTGAATATGGACATTTTACCTGTCATCGAATYTAAAATATAGTTTATAATCAGATTTTCCAATTAGATGATATACGTATATATGTTGACATTTAATTTGAGAATTATATTAAAAGCTAGATTGTGAAAACAAAGTTTATCATTTATGTGGATGAAGCCAAGTAGATTTTAAATCACGAAAGATTTTCCAATATATATATATATATATATATATATATATAATAATAATAATACTACCATATTTAGTATTTTGTTTTTATTGAATCATTATACTTATTTATGGATGCTAATTGTTTATAACCACTATATGATCACAATCATTATACCTTTTTTGAGAAATTAAATAATAGGCAGGCATTTTATTTTATTTTTTATGAAAATGTAGAGAGAAATTAAAATCCGAATACTTACGTTACAAAAAAAGACTTGAACTCATAATTTAAAAACATTACGTATTCGATTAATTGTTATTAAATCAAGGGTGACTTTATATTTTTGAAAAATAGTAATAATTCCTCACCAACCCTAGGGACTACACCAAATAAGTTCGAAGATATTGGATAAATAATGTTGAAGTAGAAAAAGACTAAAATATTAACCAAATCTTTCTTTAGATTTTGGTATCATATTATTTCTAAAGTAATTAGTACGTATAATATTATATATGAAAGAAGACAAACCCTACCTTAATTAATTATGCATCGTGCCTGAATTTTATAAACTATAACTTAACTACAAAGCATTAATTTTTATTTAAATTATGAATTCAACATAATGTACTCAACTCACTTACTTTATTACCATTTTTCAATAACAATCTTCTCCTAATCTTTCAAAAAAATATTATCATATTGTTTTTGTAATCCAAAATAAAATAAAATATTAATTTTTTTAATTAAATTTAATTAAAATTTAGAGTAAACTATAATTTGATGTTGATAAATATTTTTTAATAAGAAAAATTAGAGTAAACTATATTTTTCATCTTTGTGGTGTTAAAATTCACAACTTTCATCTGCGTGTTTTCAAACTTATAGTTTTCATCTCTATGGTTTACAATTCATTACTGTTTTCATTCTAAAGGCTATCCCTGTCAATAGTTTTGTAAGTATGAAAGAAGAAAACAACAACGAATCGTGAATTTTAATTAAATTTGATTAAAATAAAATATTTATCAACATCAAATTATGATTACTTGTTATTTTTAAAACTATATATATGATACTAAAAGTAGAAAGCTAATAAAAATAAGAGTAAACTACAACTAATTTTGGTACCTATGGTTTATATCCAACTACGAGAATCGTCCCTAAACTTCAATAAATATAATTATCGTCCATATTATTTATATTTGGCTTTGAAAATCGTCCATCAACTTAACTTTGTTTAAAAAAAAATTAAATTAGGGGTATTTTTGTCTTATACTTTTACAGGAACAAGTTATACAATTTGTACATGGACCTAATTGTAATTTACTTTATTTTATATTGATATTATATTAATATATATATATATAAAAGAGAGAGAGAGAGAGTCATGTTCAAACGAGAAGTTAAACATTTTGCAAAACTCGCCCTCAATCAAGAGGCAGTGGGATCTAAAAGAGGCGATGCTTGCTCCGTCAAGGTGTACCCATCACAAAGACGATGGTAAGATCTAAAAGAGGCGGTGCATGCTCCGTCAAGGTGTACCCAGGAGTGATGAGTTATAAATTAATATCTTGGAAAGGAGGAAATGATTCACAAAGCTCGTGTAACTTCATCATCTCCATTTGATCTTTGAATTGTAGTGCCCACACACACCAATACAATGGATTGGGATAAGAGTGTAAGCAATTGGAAGGGTATTATACAAATAACAACTTCAAACGATTAAACCTATATTAGATGTGATTTAGGTTGGGAACATATTGTGATTTCGATTTTAGGTTCGGTTTTGATTTGGTTTTATATTTGATTTAGGTCGTATATTGTTTCAAATTTGTGTTTCAGGTTTGATTTTAGTTAGGTATTGACTTAGGCCACATAACATGACCGAGAAACATTATGGTTTCAAGCCATTAGAGATAGTAACTGAAGCAAGTCAAGTCGTCGGAGAAAGTGACCGGGGCAAGTCAAGCTTGAAGTTTTTTTGATGTGGGTATATATATTTTATCTATAAATATAAAATAGTATATAAGTTAATAGTATAATATAAAAATAAGGCAAATAATAAAAAGACCAATATGTTCCTTAATTAACGGACAATTTTAACGAGGTTAATGACCAGGGATGATTTTCAAAGTAAAATGTAAACAGTATAGACGATAACTATACTTATTAAAGTCTAGGTACGGTTTTGGTAGTTGGATGTAAATCATAGGGACCAAAACTGTAGTTTACAATAAAAATAAATAATTATTTAAATGTGGGGACTGGACTGACTCAGTATATCATGTTCTTGTTGACAGATTCTCATTTTCAAAGCACAAGTGTTCTTGTTTTTTGTGATGTTTTGTGGGGGAAATCTTGATGCCAGGAAGCAGTAGACAACTTCCAGAAATGAAATGAAGTGTCTTTTCCCATCTTTAAAACAAATCTTGAATTCCTCGCTTTCTTTTTTCAATTTTACTTTAATATTAATATTCAATAATTGTTTTTTTTTTAATTATTAATTGAATACATAAAACTTGATACCGGACCCAAGTGATCAATTGAGTCCACCCTTTACTTCTATTTAACTACATCATTTACAACCTCTTTAATTAACTACATCTCCAATTCCTTTAAAATGAAAGAAAATTTCACATAATTATAATTAGATGTAGTGTGAATTTTGTAAACGCAGCGATTTTGTTGGTGATTTTAGTGTTATCAACCATCTTGGTGTAATTGTAATTTACTTGAGATCGATTAAAATGATAAGACAAATATAAATGAGTTAGAAGATGAGGAATGCACACTCATAAATGTTGTGGAATCAGAGATCTGATCCTTTTGATCAGAGTTATGATGTATTGATGAAAATACTAAGTCTGGATCAGAATTATGGTAACAAGAGATTTGAACAATGGAACTAGAGATGTGGTCTATTGAATTAGATTTTTGATCCAAACCAAATTTGACTAAGCCCTGAATAGTGCAACCCGACTTCGAGTACTTGGAGTCAGAGTTTGAGTATTTGGAGTGAGACTTCGAGTACTTGGAGTCAAGTTTGATTACTTAGAGTTAGAGTTAGACTACTTGGAACCCGAATTTGAATGTCATCTTTGAATCCGTATATCTAACAGATTTAGCACATTTTCTTTGATTTGATCATGTTATAGCAAGTGCTTTTTTTCACGAAGAACCCTAATTTTTGGTTTCATAAATAAATAGAAGTTGAAGAGAAAGAATTTGTCTAAGATAATAATAACTCTAGATGCCATGCTCTTGGGTATGGATTCGAGCTCTATGTTGAGGTCAAGACGTCTCTTTTGGAAGGCTATTGTGTGGATTACATTATATTTGATTTGGAGACACCGGAAGTCAAAGGCCTTCAATAGAGATAGCGCTCGTCAATTTGATCATCTCTTTGAAGTCCAACTCTTATTGTACCAATGGATTTCAAAGCGTTCCAATTAAGGGCTTCACTTTTCTTGGTCGAAGTGGTGCGGGGGCAAGTTTTCAATGGTCAACATCCATTTTGTTATTGACCTTTGAGTGCTTTTTCGTTCATGCTCACTTCGTGATGTGTTGTTTTCTTCTAGTTTCTATTTGTTAGGGGTTTGTTCCATCGAGGGTTTTTTGGTTGGTTTTCTATTTCTTGTAGAATTCCTTCTGTTAGCTCTCTTATAGAATTTGTTTTTTCATCTTAATAAATTTGTCTTGTCTTCTAAAAGAAGACAACCCGTCCATCTTTTTGTACGGAAACATCTTTAATTGTTTTTAGCTTGATGATTTTACCCAAAAAAGAAATTAAGATAAGACTTCATTTAACAGTAAAAAAAGTAATATATACGAAACTGGTTTTGGTTGATTCTTTGGACCATACCCATTCCCATATGCTTCCTTGTTACCATCCCCACTTTTCCTTGGTGGGGTGGGTTAGAAATGATCAAAATTGATAAAATATATGCGACAATATCTGAACCAATCTTTCCAAGATCTAAATATACACGCTATTTTCAATTTCAAAAAATAAATTAAACAAAAAAGAAATAATAATAAATTAAAAAAACATAAGTGTAATGGATTCTCAACCAGAAAGATTTAAAAAAAATAAATATATATATATATATATATATAACTGAATTTGGGGTAATCAAGGGGGAACTGACTAGAGCTTGAGGGACAAGTCAAGTTTTTGTGACTCATCTTGATTAGTCTTCAACTCCGGCCACCATAAACCACCAACCTCATCCTTACCTGTTGAACTCATTCCTGTCCTAACCACCTCAAACCTCCCAACACCACCGTGGGATGGAGGAGCTGCCGCCAGACTTGAGGTGTAGCTTGCTAAAGTCAGCTTCCCTATGGCTGGTTGCTGATCAACGTGAGGTCTTGATGACCAGCCTTTTGGTCCGTAAAAGCTTTTGAACCCCGAAGAAGAAGAAGTCGAGAACATAGAAGATGGTTTGTGGATCATTGAGTGTACCTGAATTCCAAGTGATCTGCTGCTGTTATAGCCACCGTGGAGAGGAATTGAAGAAAGACTGGAACAATAATTTTGATCATGATGTTGCTGCTGATGCATATACGTATGACCAAAAGCTGCAGCTGCTGAAATCATAGGACTTGAAAGAAACCCCATTCTTTGTCCTCTTTTTGCAAGATTTCTCTCTCTTTTGTGGGCATTTTGGTGACCCCCTAGTGCTTGTGAACTATAGAATTTTCTTTGGCAATAGTTGCATGAGAAAACCCTAGGTTCAGTTGTATCTGATTCTTGTGGAGTTGTACTTTCTGATGAATTACCCATCATGTTTAAACTGTCGATAAGATTGAGTTCTTGATTGAATCTTGATTCATCATCATGACCATCCATTTGGAGATCACCACAAGTTTCTATCTTTCTTTCTTCTTCTTCTTCTTGATCATCATCTCTTTCTTCTTCTTCTTCCTGATCTTCTGCTTCTTTTGGTCTCTGGAATTCAGCATCTGGTAGTACTACTGGATCAGAAGAAGAAAGTAATTGATGTTCTTGATCATATGATATTTCCATTAACGAATTCTTTGAGTCTCTCTCTCTTGCTTTGAAGGAGTGTGTGAAATTGAAAGGGGGAAAAGAGGTAGTTTATGGAAAGTGAATGGGTTGTGCTTTAAGTGGAAAAATACTATGTGAAAGAGATTTCCTAGATAAAGACTAAAGAGAGATGATTTGAACTAAAGTACAGTATGATTTTAAGTAAAGCTTTTCACCTGACTCAAAAACAAATTATACCCTATGCATTTAAAGTTGTACCTTATTATAGATTTAATATTCACTAGCATCACATGTATACCTAAACAGATTATTTGAACTTTGAAGTATGTGTATATATATACATACATACATATATATATATATATATGTATATATATAGCACCATTTTATATCATACATTATTAAAACTTGTATCTATCATGTGAATTTGTAAGAAATTTTATAGTTGTCATAAATATAATAATATATATATATAATAAACCCATACTCATATCTTTTTTCTATTTTTTACATTTAAGTGATCTAATTTGGTATAATAATTGTCTAATAACATGTATTAAATGCAATTAAAACTATAGATTTAATAATAAAATAACCTCCCAAGATCATCTCTTAAGGGAGCATAGCTTGTCTTTTTGCATCTTGGTCGACTTATAAGCAAATTCCAAGTATCGGTCGTTTAAAGGATGTCGTTTTTTAATAAAGAAAACTAATATTTTATTTTTCCTATAGACTACTAGTTCAAGATTGCACATCATAACACTGATAAATAATTCAAAATTTCATTTACAAATAAAATTTCACCAATAAAGATAGAATGCACAAAACCCGATTGTCTTCAACGTAATTGTTTAACTTGTTTACGTTATCACGTGCATTATAACATTAAATATTAGTATGAATTATTAAATTAAATACCAAAACTGAAGTTGATAATTTTATAAAAAAAACACTCTAAATCTTTTCGTATCCTTGACTTGTTTGATTTACTTCATGTTATCTGTCAAAAATATAAAACAATTATTTTAAGTTAAAATAGGAGGGATATATAATTATTAAGGGATGAATTAAATGTGTTCATACATACTAATTTTCTTCTCATATATGTATTAAAAATTATTTTTACATGATTTGATCTAATTTTGATTTAAAAAACAATGTAAATAAAATTAGGAAAATAAAAATAAAAAAGAAAAGTGGGGAGCAGAGAAGAGAAGTGATTTGTGATTGGAGAAACAAGAAAACAGCAGGTGGGAACTTTGAAGACGTCCAATCACAACTCAACTGGCAGAAGCATCTTTCCAACACCAACAACACATCACTAATCCACACTATTTCCTATTACTGTTACCATTACCCCACCCAACTCTGCTATGGATACCATTCCATATGATATCATCAACTAGTTTGTATGTTAATTTCATTTTCAATTTTATTAACATTGTTACATTTAATCTAAAGCGTGATATGCGTGTATGACCAAACGAACCCAATACGTTTCATTCGTAGGTGGGGTCTGAAAGATAAGATATACGCAGATCTAATATCTATTCAATGAGTAAAGTTGTGTTTTTGTGAACACTCTTGACTTGTGAAAAATGTGTGAATAAAGAAAATTAGATAATTAATGAAAGCTATTAAAAACTAGTTAAGAGTAAGTGATAACATAAATAGGTGAAAAAACATAAGCAAGGTAACCCTAGTCCAATTCCCTTTACCTCTCCAACACCCTTCCACCTGACTATATACTAGCCCTAGATTCCCGCCTTTAGTCTACGGTCCTAATCTCACGTCTCCAAAAACTCTTGTCAAAAGTCATGTCCACAAAGATACCTAAAATTGTTATATCTACACATGCATGTATAGATATCATTATATATATATATATATATATATATATATATATAAAAGAAAAGTTCATTTGAGAAGTGGTAAATATTTTAGAAGTAAAGAAGTGATCCTAGCCCTTTATCTGGCCAACATTTGCGGCTTTAACCGTGAAGCACTGGATAATTCCTTGCATGGGTATGCGAAAGATAGAAAGGTAGTTTCGTAACTTTTACAAATAGGTGACAAACAGGTTTATATGTGAACTCATGTGATTCACATATGAAATATATGTTCATATGTGAACCCATGTGATTCACATATGAAATATATGTTCATATGTGAACTCGTTAATTAATTCATATGTGAACTATCTAAAGGATTCATATATCAATCAGTAAAATAGTTCATATATGATAATCTATGAGCAAATTATGCTTCAGATGATTGAATTCAAACAATCAGAAACCCCCCTACGATTACAACTTAAACTGAATATATTAATACTTTTTTGTGTCAACTGTGTCTCCAATCGATATTGATTGGGCTATGATAATCGTGTGATACGTGAATCTTAATTGAACCAAACAATGTGTAGTCGTATTTGCTATGATAATCGTGTGCTAATCGATATTGATTGGATGCGATAATCGTGCGATACGTGAACCCTAATAAAATCAGACAATGTGTGTTGTATTTGTTGTGCTAATCGTGTGATAATTGGTATTGATTGGGATGTGATAATCATGTGATATGTGAACCCTAATCGAACCAAACAATATGTAGTCGTATTTGCTGTGATAATTGTGTGATATGTGAACCCTAATCGAACCAAACAATATCTAGTTGTATTTGTTGTGATAATCCAACCCTAATCAAACCAAACAATGTTCTAATCGAGAGACGGTGATCGAGTCATATTCTAAGTGTGATAAAGTTGTAATAAGCAAACTTTGAATCAAATGTCTATGCAAACTTCTTCCTTTAATCGTCTATTTGAACTCCAGTTCGATTTCCTCCTCTAGTCCATTTTCTGTCTTCTAATCGAGAGACGGTGATCGAGTCATTTTATGTATATATATATATATATGTGTGTGTGTGTGTGTGTGAGAGAGAGAGAGAGAGAGAGAGAGAGAGAGATAGAGAGAGAGAGTATGACATTGTGCTCTTAATGTATATTGCATATGTTTCTATGACATTAGACATTGATAAACTTAAGTCATGTGATACTCAGATGTTTGCTAAACGTTTATTAGAAATAAACTGATTTCTAAAAGAATGGGTATAAGAGAATATATAATTAAGATTGTGTTTTGAAAAATTGATGTTAGGCAAGGAAGCATGTATACGTGGCAAGAGTGATGTGTTAAGATGACAAGTGGCCGACACTTACATGGTGGATGCTGACAAGTGTAATTATGCTTTTTATTTTTAATTTTTAAATAACATAAATTTTACAATTAAAATAACATCATCAAATCTTCAAAGTAAAACCTAAGGATAAGTATGATCTTGCCTTTTCATTACTTTAATTCTCTCCCAAACTTCCATTCTTTTTCCCAACTTTCACTCTTTCCTATTACTTTTTAATCTTCTCCAATTTCAAATATTATTTCCTTAAATTAATTATTTAAATTGAAAATAGTCGTAAACTAAAAAAGACGTAAAAATAGAAAGATAGTAAAATCATCTTATCTTCTAACTCTACTGTCTATTGGTCAATGCAGGGGCAAATATAGGCTTTGGGTGGCCGGTGAACTCGTACTCGCTCTATTGTTCCGACGTAATGGATAAAAAAAATCAGGGTTCTTCAACGTTCACGGTGCACTCGCTTTATACTGATGTGAGTACCATGAAGTTGATAAAAAAAATGGTTGTAGTGTACTAGCAATATTATCACATGTGACATTATAGATTATAAGTTCTAACCTGTTTGCATCTGTTTTTAATTGTTTGGTAGCAGCAACAGAAAAGATGGAAAAAAGAAGAAAGAATCTACTTGGATGTTGCAAAAAAAATGTTACATGTCATTTATAATGAAACCGTATTTTCTACAATTAATATTTGTTTTATGTTTATATTATACTAATTATTTTGTGCACCAACTTGAAAATTTTCTAGTCCACCTCTACAACATTTTGTTTTTCTATTGATTAAGTTTTAAAAAAATTAAAAATTTAAAAATTTTAAAAAAGAAAAACAAGAGTGGTGTCTGATTGGTTTGAGCTTGGCTCCAAATGTCAAAAGTACCAGGAGGTCTCAGGTTCAAATCCAAGAAGAAATAAAAATCCCCTTGTGGCCACGAAGGTTCAAATAAGGTGACTCCGGACTATCTGCAAAGCAGATGGTCGTCCTGGGATTAGTCGGCTCACATAGAGGGTCGGATATCCAGGTTAATAAAAAAAAAGATATTAGGAATTTGAGTCAAAAAAATTTGTGACAACTCTTACCACATTGATGAAAATTTTCTAGTCCACCTCTAGGTCAATGACATTTTGTTTCTATTGATTAAGTTTAAAAAAATTAAAATATGCTAAAGAGCGATTGTTCTAGTAATTGTGGTATTTGTAGTTCCCTTGTAAAAAAAGAAGAACAGCCATAAGTATGTGAATCGTTCATTACTTTGAAACAAAAGTATATGTATGATGGTGCAACGTCTTAAAGTCCAAAACAATGTATTAGCCCAATAGTTTTTAAACTGACATAATATTCTAGTGTAAGTTACTGATAGCTCGCAAGTTAAGACTTATAAGAAAATTTATAAATCTTATATCTATCTGTGTGGTACAAAATGTTACAACCCTCCAACACTCGCACATAAGGACATATAAACTAGCTTATAAGTTTCTTTTTCCATGAATGTAGGGCGGGTTGTTACGAACTCCCGACTTAAAATTTTGGCATCCTCGTTAAACCTACATAGCATTCTCTTTGCTCATCAGCTATATGAGATTTGCCAAAGTAGGTGAACTTGTCATCAAAATTTAACATCTAAACATATCTTTATTCGTTAAAGTGACTAACAAAATCTAATATGACACGAGTTTACTTGGCATATGACTTAGAAGAATATACTATAACGAACCATTGTTTACCCTTTTGTATTCTCTTTTAAACATGAGGATGGTCATGATAAGAAGTAGTTAATTATAACTATCCACGTATTTTTGCGTAAAAAAATCATGATGAATTTCATAAGTATTGTAGACTTGGTTAAAAGATAAATACATCAACCACACATTTACAATTGTCCTCTGGGCTATCTAGTGTGGATTTAAGGCTCAATACTTACATGATATGTATATATGTGTATTTAAAAAAAAAAAAAAAAAACAAAAACAGTTGTATACTTAAAACATACAGATTTATAATCACATCTCTCCCGTGATAATCATCGACCACAGTTGTTTATGTGAGGAAATGAAATGATTAATTTATTACATGGAAAAATAAATTTTAAATTAACATTTTAAACAAAAATAAATTTCGAATTGATTTTGCATTTGAACAAGGTATCATTTTGTAACATTTAAACTAATAAATCTTAAACATTTTGTTCAGTGACTTATATACGAAACCTACATCTATATACGCGATACATGCTCACTTTTTTTTTTTTTTTAATAAATGTGTTCTTTCTACTTTTCCAGCAACGATTTTTCCTCCAAATACCATATATTCGTCACATGTTTTTCCTTCCTCAAGATCCAATTTATTTCCTTTGTACACCTTACAATTTTCCTTTCTTTAGACATAGTGATGTCCATGGGACATTACTACTCCAAGTGAAAATTTGTAATTGTCACTAGGAACAAATTTCACCTTCAATCTTCATCTTTTCCTTGTTTCCTACTTTGATTTGAAGTTGTCCTTTTGTGTACGATGTGTCGAACATTGCTTGATCTTTGTAGATATGCACCGAAGCAGCAAAATCGAACACCCAATTTGATTTACTATATCCATTAATTCATAAGTCAAATGATTGTAGTTTCTACCAAGAAGGCATCATCATCAACTAGACTGGTCTCATCATCGTCAGTCTTCTTCCTTCCTTTTGAATTATGTAAATTTTCAATTCTCCATGAATAATGAATCTACATATGGCCCTTCTCTACGCAATAGTAATACACATTACAAAACAAATGACTTTCACCCAGGGAAATTTATGTCAATCGCCCAGAAAATATCAATGGTTCAATAGAATCTGATGTTTTTCGAGAAAATACCAATGGATCACCCAGAGAATTCATGGGTAATTTGTCACTAATTGAATTACCTACCAACAAGTTACCCACCAACTTTTGTGATAGTTTTGTGACAAATCACCCTTTAGCGACAAATTTCCCAGGGAAAAGTCTGTAGGCAAAAGTATTTCATTTAGTAGTGACACTACATCATTCATTTCTCTACCCCTCTATCTATTTTTGAATCTTCTGTGACTAGTAATTTTCCTCATTTGAGAAGCTATCACTCCTTGCTATTGTTTTTGTTATCTTGCAACACCTTAAGCACATGCTAAACTAGTACTGCCTATGAACATAGTCGGCACAAATGGCTTGTAGGACTTGATAGTAACATTTTAGGTAAATTTCACATCACAAGTGACTAAGAAGAATGTTGGGTAGACCTAACGAGGACACCAATAATTTAAGAGGAAGGATTTGTGGCGATTCATTCCACATTGATGGAACTCGACATTTGTGAGCTCTTTTTTATGCAGGAAGTGCGTTGTAACAACTTGTCCTACTTACAAATTATATTTTTGAGCTTTTTATAAATCTCAAGTTATAAGCTACCAGTAACTTTCATGATGGTTGTAAAGGGATTAAATGGGTTATTGGGCATTATAACTGGTATCAATATTGATCCTTGTGCTATCAAGATGATAGGGAAAACTCGTTGAGGACACATGAGTGTGTATATGTAACATATTAGGCAAATCATAATCACTAATAAATAAAGAGAATTTTTGGTAAACCTGATAAAGATGTTAGGAATTTGAGTCAAAATTTGTGACAACTCTAACCACATTGATGAAAAGTAGGATTCTTGAGCTTGATAACTAAATTAAGAGGAGCACGGGTTGTGACAACATATCCCATGAGTGTAAAAGATAAGATTTATACACTATAGGTCCATCTTCCCATTGAATATTGGGATCAAAACTTTGATATTGCTCTAGTCAATCTTTTACCATATAAAATGTATTGAAAGCAACCCCAGAACAATAAATAGCAAATCCGTGAAAAGAAAAGAAAAAAAAGACAAAAACTTTGAACAGTATAAATAGCAAACTTCACTGATCCAACGATGAACAGATTCGAGCATCAATTTTCCTTTAGTTGCACAGAAAGGTCCCTATCATAAATCCTACGTACGTTGTCACACGAAATGATAAAATGATTTTTGAAGCTTTCTAACTTGAGTGTCATATAATTCATACGTCAAAATGTTTTCATTTATCAGATGATATATCTTTTTAGATCGTACAAACAAATAAAAAGTAAAAGTAATAACAATAACAATAGTAACTACTTTATGTGGTACGAACCATAAGAAATAAAAAATGAATAGAAAAAATAAAAAGAGTAGTTGCAATAAATGTGTGGAGGGTGGGGGCAAGGGAGGAGTAGTTACTAAACATGGCATATGATTCCACATGATTCAATGCATGTCTCATCCAATAAAAAAGTAAGTGGATCAAATCTCTTTACAAGATTTCTCTGTCTTTGTTTTCAAAAAACACAACATAAACAAACACACCCTTCCCTTGATTATAACTGCAACTGCATTTTAATCATCATGTCAACATCCAAGTTTACCTTCTTGCTCTTTTTTTCTTTCAACACAAGGTTTCTACTTTCTGTTGTATATATAACTACTTGTGTTTGTCTTAAAAAGTAGCAGATTTCTTTTGATATATCGTAAAAAAAGTGAAATAACGTACGCCCGTTTCACGGAAGATAATAATTTTAACTTGTAATTCGGCGTACCTTCTTGTCAAAAAAGACTCCAACTTAATCATGACATCAAAAATATACTCGTTCTGAATTATCTTAATACATCAGTTTGCTGGCGATTCAAACGAGAACACATTTATTTTACAAAAATACGAGAACAACTTTACCATATATGATAATACATGTGAGGAGAACTAGTGTTGTGCGAAAGACTTGAACCATGACCTAGGTCACACCAACGGTTATTTGCATCTCTGATTTAGTATCACTATAGTAAAAGAGTGTTTTCGCATTTTAATAAAATGAAGGTTTTTCTCTTTTGGATCCTTCCATATATATAAATATAGACGAAGGATCGTGAGAAAAAGAAGCGTAAGAAGGAATCTGGACCATGGATCACCTTTAATCTCAAACCTACCCATGAATCACACTTGATACGGGGATTAATTCAGTGTATCTCATCCTAATGTGCATCCCAAGATGAAGCCCTCTTCTTATATTTTTCATCTTAACTCTCCTTTTCAGCAGAACCCAACGCTATATATATATATATATATATACACACACACACATGTAGAGCTATGAAGTTGAGGAAATTCCACAACAGTCCCTGGATTTTTATAATTATGTCTAAAGGCCCAGAAGCAAACCAAAACTCAGTTGCAGTTAAATAGATTCCTTTCAATATGTACAACTCAAATTAAAAACATTAAATGCAACTATCAACACATGTGAATGCACAGGATGATGAGGTACAAGTTTTAACTCACCATCCTCAAACTTTTGATGCAACTGCAGCCAACTTCAAGCCTCAAGCTCTCCTATAAACTTGCACCATATAACAAACGATATCAAAGGTATTTGAAGAGATATTTCTTCCCAATCTTATAATCGAGTTTTCTTGAAAGACCCAAAAAGACCACACCCAAATGGGTGAAACTTCCGTTACCAACCCATCGACTAGTAATTCATTGTGCAAGGGTGATTTAAACTCCGGATCTCGGTTCCAAACACTTGGAAGTCTTGTATTTTGCAAAAATGTTGATTCTATACTACATTTACTAAATCATAATGGCACTACAAAATTTATTTATACAATGAATTGGTCGGATAATGTACCTCAATGCTTTACTATTTTGTCAGCCAGTAAATCAGAATCAAAAATGTGCAAACAGAGGCAACTAAAGAAAGAATTATAGTGTCCATAGACTTCTTTTTGTTTATCGCCGAGATGATGCTATTCACCTGTAAGTAACACCAAGACAGCTGGTTAAATGCCGAACTACTATGAAGGAAAAGATTAATTTTGTTCAAAAGCATCATAGGCGATGCCCATTATAGATCATTGTTGGCCAAGCAAATTTCTTCTACTTTTCTTCCATGAAAATTGCAACATTTGAGTCAACATGTACGTTAATAAAAATGCTCGACTACGAATCAAACACCTAAAATACCATTAAACAGACATGATAGAGGAATTTTTGAAACTAACACCACCACCATAAAGATATCTTGATGATGAAGGGAAAATATGCAAGTGAAACATGACATTGTTCCATAAGGGTTTGTTTGGTATACTGGATAATATAGAACAGAACAATAATCACTGTTTCATGTCCGGCAGGATTTTTATGTGGAACAAATAGAAACAAAGTGGAATAGGCGTGTTCCACCCCTAGCCCATGGAACAAGGTGAAACAGACCTATAATTTAACAATACAACCTCAAAATAAAACTTAATTCTCTCTAAAACATCAAAATATGCCTCCCTCTTTACATTATATTCATTCTTTAAATTTTATTTATTGTATTATGCTTTTTAATCTTCCATTACTGTCCTCAGTATTATTTTTATACGGTATCTATATTTTAATTAATTTCTGTAATTTATTAAATATTAATAATAATAAAAAATATAGAAAAAGGTACAAAAATAAAGATTGGAAACTACATTAACTTTTTATTCTGGTGTCACTTTAGTATGAAAACTTTCTAATGATATATTTTTGTTATAAAAAATATTTATTTTATTGTAATTAATAAATTACATAAATTAATCAAAATATATAGACAGCTCATTAAGGGTAAATTGGTCATTTTATATGTTTTGTCCTATCCAGTTTTGTCTTGCCAAACACTGAACAGTTGTGTTGTCTTGTTCTATCATGCTATGTCCTATCATGTCTAGCTACCAAACGCACCCTAAGGGTGGACAGGACGGGAATAGTACAAAAACTTGCTGTCCCATGTTTTGTGTGTCGTAAGATCGGGACAGAGACCTAAGTGGGACAGAAATGCAGATGAGATAAAATTGGTAAATTATTAAACTACCCATGCCAAATTAAAACCCTAAAACATTCCACAATTCTTTCACCGCCTACCCCACTATCACCCGTCCAGTCCTGTCCGCATCCAAACGCACCCGGACACGTTTCATTTCCACTGGACATCCCAAAATAAAATAAATTGTATAGCTTCTTCATGGCACATACATTTGACCCCTGTTTTACCCTCCTTCAAATTATAATTTTGCATTTCTTCTATAACCCATGATCTAATATCTAAGGTTGAGAACTAGCTGATTTCATACAAATATGATTGGCTTACTCTCCTTTCTGACAAGCACACGTTCAAGGGAATGCAATTCACACATGTATTTGTTGATGAGTATATATATTTGCATATTACAATTTATAGCCCATGATCAATAGTCATCAAGTAAAATTGAATATTAATGTAGGTCATCCTGAAAGAGTGATTTAGCAATTAACTGATTTGAAATGTAACCAACCATTACTTGATATGCCAAAATGTAAAATTATGCAAAGAATTTAAAATAGTTGGGTCAGTCTTTTGTAGTTTAACCAAATTAAGTAACGCAATATCTTTAAATGAACCGATTCAAATACTTACAGTTGGGAGGCGACTGCTAACGTTACTAAGCTTTGAATTGACACCTCTAAATGTTGAGCGTTGAAACACAAGCGCACCAAGGGTCTCTTGTGCTTGAGATATTACACCGTCTGTCTGCATCAACATGGTTAGATAGAACAATGAGTATAAACTCAATCAATTAAATGAACAAGCAATCAAGCAGCTAGCCTGTGACCTAAATTTGTTTGAGTAGGCTCAACTCCAATTGATAGGAAACTATATACAACATCAGCTAGAGAGAGAGTGAGATATATATATAAAATGACACAATTCATAAATCCTCTTTCTTGAACAACAGATTAATCTTCTTATTATAGAAAGGGAGATTTGAAATTTTACTTCTATATAGAGTTATGAAAATGGCCCCTAGGGCCGCTTAAATTGCCGCCTGGGTGTTAAGCATCCTGTGACCATTTCGAAGAGTCAGGGCCACTTAATCAGCAACCTGGAGTTAAGCATCCCTTGTCGCTTCAAAAGGCAACTAATTGTTGATTAAACCTTTTAAAAAAGTCAAGCATATAATCAACTTTCTCAACTTGCGTTCATTAATCAACTTTTCACAACTTGGAAAGAATCATTAGTTTGTCCTATGTAACTTTATCAATGAAACAATGAAATTAGTCAATTATAGAAGTAAATATATTGTATCAAGGTAAGATGTTTATGATGTAAAAGAAATTATATTCATATACATAAATAAACTGCTTATGCTTCGGAGGGAAAACTTAATCACCGCTAACACAGTTAAGCATAAGAAGTAATGGGTGAATAGTTTGGCTTCAATCTGGTTTTCTGTCTTAAAAACCAAACCGCTGTGCTCAGTTAGATGGAAATGGAAACCTCCAACAAACCAAAACCAAGGCAGTTTGGGACTTTGAGCCTTCAAGACTAGGCCTAATATTTTACATTAATTTCATTATTCCATCAATTGTTGGAAGTAATTCGTAATTGTATTATATGAAGAAATCTCTTTTGCAACTAAATAAAAACCCTTGGCCAGCTCTATAGTGTATAAATTTGCATCTATAAATCGAAAAAATGATGCCGATAATTGTACAACACCAAAGAAAAAATACTCCAATGATCCATGATTAAAAAAAAATTGGATTAGTATTCTTTTTTCCTCTAAAAGCAAGATCAAATCTTTTTTAGCACTATAAGCCATATTTTTCGAGTTACTATTTTCAGAAGAAAGTAAATCTAACCCAGATCCAGATACCACCTCTCAATCTATATATTTTCTTTTTGAGTTCAAAGCTTCTATCTTTTTTAGAATATAATGAACTAATAAATATAACATTATATATAAGGGGTACGGTGTTGATTTATAGAAGATATAATGGAACCCGGACCCAGACTATCCACTTTAGTTCACCAATAAACCAACCAAAACCTAACCTTCAAGTATTCAGAACACCAGTTTGAATGCAGTTCAGGTCGGTTTGTCAGTTCTGGGTTTTTATGTTCACCCCTACTAAAAGGTCCCTTGACTACCTGTCTGCTTAACACTTCTTTTAACACTGCGCCTATATGATCTATCTTTATTATCTTGTTCCATACTTCCAGTGGTTTACACGTCAAATTCCAAGAAAAAGAAATGAACTCAGTGCCACCGAGTCTAAAGAAACATATTCTTTAAAGAAGTTGAAGAACAAATTGCATTCAACTTACCTGCCCTGTACTTCTTATGATAGTAGCCCGCTCCTTAAGAAGAGACTGCTCTTGGGATCCACCGCCCTCTTCTAGATCTAACCTTGATCTGTCAAACTCCCTGAAATCTTCAAGCAGTGATGCATGCTCTCTCTTAGCTCTAAGGCTAGAACGAAGTCGATTGAACTCCTACAATAAACCAAATTTTATAAAAAAATATATATAAAAATGGCATTAAAAAGCAGTGGTAGTCAAGCAGACGAGAGTCATAGAAGTATTTATGATTTAAAAAGTTAGCGTAAAAAATAACATGTGACCCCGATGATCCTGGTCCTTTGACTTTTGCAAGGGTTGGAGAGGGTAGTTTTTCTAAGCAACATCCCCCTTGCACTTTGCAAAGAGACTACTTCCACGACTCAAACCTGTCATCTTTTGGCAACAAAGGAGTAACTTTATGGGTTGCCCCAGTGCTCGACCCCTTTCAATAGATATTAAGGGATACAGTTCCCCACAGTTTTTATACAATAATAGATAGAAAGTTTGATGCAAACCAATCTCCCCCTTCATGTTTTTTTCAAATATTAATCACTTACTATTCTTCTTCATATATACTTCTCATGGCTGTAGGTTCAAGTCTCGTTAGAGACATCAATATATCAAATTAACCAAACCATACAAACCCAGTATATCCCAACTGAAGGTGGGGGTTGAGATGTATAAAGACCTAAGCTCCACCGAAAGAGTAGAACAGTTGTTCCCGTGAAGACCCCGGCTCGTATATTAAATTTGTGGAAAAAGAACATAAGAAAGAACATTTGAAAAAAAAAGTTGAAAACAAAAAAGATAGTGCTAGATTTTGAAAAACAAGTTAGAAGTAAGCAACCAGAAATCAAACAAACACATATAAACGGAAGCAGGTACATGAAAACGTAATAAAGGTAGGAAACCCACCCCTAGTCTAACTGTCGCTCACTAACCCTAGCCCCATCCTATACCTCTCCAGATCCCTTCCGGCTTCCTCCCATCTAGGTGAGCCCACCCCTAGTCTGCCAAGTGCAGCCCTAATCTTTCGTCTCCAAGAGCTCCTATCAGAGGTCGTGTCTTTTTAAATTTGCTGATAAATCAAATTGTTGACCCTATTAATAAATAACGAGAAAAGTAACTTGTCAAATTTCCACTTCAGTAATACGAGCTTCCAGCTGGACAAAATTTTACACCAATTTTGAACCTTCATTATTCTCCAGATTTGGAACAATTTAGCAAATTTTATATGGTCAGAAAGGTATTAAAACGACAGAAAATGATCTTATAATCATTTTTCTACAGAGTCATAATGCATAGATAGATATATGCCTTATAAGTGTTTATATGCAAAAAGAGTGCAAAATGAACCACACACGATTTAAATGGCTTGGAAAAGCCATTGTCGCAGTGCAAACGACTTGCACACGACTTGCACAATCGCCACAATGTCCATTTGGTCAGGTAATGTGAATTCCAACTCGTATTAAGTCGTATAGAAGTCCCATAGAACCTTCTGTAGGTTGCGATGCAGTTCAGATCAGTATGTGTTTACAATATAAGTTGGTGTTTATGTTCAATAGTTTGTTTAGACATTTAGTACGTATGCCATGTGTGTAGGTAGTGGTATCACATAGTTCAAAAACCTACATGATCAGGTGTCTCATGCAACTTATGAAACATGATACATGTCTGATGATTGCATGCTCTGCGTTTACATGTTTTAAACTGTTTAGCATGCTAAAAGTATATTTAATATATCAGCCATGTTATGCACAAAAAACAAGTATCTTTTAGTTTGTGTGTAATTGTGTAAGTACGCAAACCGAGACCATGGTTTAGTTTAGAAAGAATGATAGCCTAAGACCATCTGCAGTCACAATATGAGCAACCAGATCGTGAATGGGACAAAAAGGGTTTTAAAAAAAATAGATATAGATAACCAATCTCTAGCGATCCATCTCACTCGACAATCCGGGATTGAGCACGTTTTTACTAAATGAAATTGACATGTGGTATTTGCTTATTGGTTGGTTTAATATTTTTTTTTTAAAATAAAACTTATCTAATTAAAAAGTGACTTTAACAAAAAAAATTAAAAAATTAAAAATATACCAAAATTCATAGTTTTCACTTTTCAATTCCTTATAGATAGAGCACACTATTGACATATTGTCATTCTTACTTTTGTGACTTATTTAATTTCAATTGTATCATAAGTTTTTTATAGTTATAATTACGTTTTAAATATGCAATGGTCCGTTTATTTAAAATATGCAATGGTCCGTTTTATATTTAAATTTAAAAATAATTATTATATATGATAAAAAATAAAATAATATAATTTTTACAAAATTATATTTTAGATTGGATCACTGTTAAATGGAAAAAGAAGTGAGATTGGGTTGGAGTTGAAGATTGTGTAGGTGGATAAGAGAGAAAGTAATATTTTAATTGAAATTAGGATGAAAGGGATTGTGAGTAAACATAGTCTAAGTTCAATTAACCGCTACACATCATGAAAGCCTATGTATTGTGCAGCGTATTAGGTGTTCCCCACAAGGCAGATCAACAAAGAACTCTGAGTACAGATTATATGTGTGCATATGTTTGTGTATTTTTACATGCGGATTTCCAGCATTTCAGTATGAAAGACAAGTTGGGATCTGTAATGCCATGAATATTACATGAAATGTTTTAAAATTGTTTTAGCACAAAAACCATGAACATGCTGAAGTTATTAGCTAGCTAGTGATGCATACTTCAAAAAAAGGCACCAATGCTAGTAGCTAGGGAAAGGTCTAGTCGAGTACTAGGCCTAGTTAGAATGACGCAACATTCATTTTGATTAAAGTTACTTAATTGTTCAGTATTCAAGTTTTGGTTATGTTTAGACTTAGCCGATGTCAATTAATCTGACTTCATTTCAGTTTTCAGTATGTATAGATTTCTGCAGCATATATTTGGTTTTAGTTGGTCTATGTTCATTAAATTAGCCATCTGTTGTGTAACAACACGTCATCGCATCCCCTAGAGAGGACAGCAAGTAGAGGGTATGACGATATCATGTAGATGCAATTGCAATAAACATGTATCTTGTAATTTCACATGCAAAAAAACACACAATGTTTTCATCACGATGCTACAAAAAGAAAAGAAAGAAAAAATGGAAAGAACCATTTTTCCTTCACAGAAAATATATAAACTAGCAAGCAAGAACTAAAATTCTCAACTTCTTTTCCTATCACTCTTTTTCATTTACCTTTTCATTTTTCTGCAAAAGAAGGTGAAAAAGCATGCAAATGTGTCAAAAAGCTCAAGCCAATAACACAAATCATGGCTAACTATACATATGCAGCCATCCAATAACTATATGTTCCTAGAAAGCTTTCTAAAAAAGGCCTTCTGTTTTGAGCCCATCACGATATTGTTCTGGGAGAAAAATAACATGATTAATTTCATATATAAAAAATTGATGATTCGCTGTCTGTTAGACAAGTTATAGATGCAATAAGCTAAATAGAAGAACAATATAATGCAAGTGTTCAGCCACCTAAAGAAAAGGCAATGAAGTACACAAGAACAAATGTACCTGAGTAAGATCATGATGAATTTCCTGATGACGAGTCAAGGTATGAGAAAAAATTTCTGATCCACCAGATGACACCCAATCTTGCATTTGCGAAATTACATGTTGTAGCTGTTTAAGTAGCTGTTCTATGCTGGATCCAATATTACTCTCATTACCATCATCACCTTTTGTAGACACCAGTTTACGATACAAATGCATTTGATCATCCAACTCTGCTTCAAGATTCCTCGCCTACATAGATATCCACAAATATAAAACAAAATAAAAGAAATTTAAGTAGAGATTCAGCTAACTTTAGGGAGAAATTGGAAATAAAGCTACAAATTCTAAATAATGTATTTCCCTGCACGGATGCACCACTCATTTGAAAATGCAACTTTGCGAAGTGCGCACACGAATAGAGGGGAGGGTGACAGCAACCTAAATTGAAACAATATCAAAGAAGATGGCTTTGTTTCATTGCTAGTTGAGCATAGCTAGATAATACACTGAATACCTTGTTTCATTGCTAGTTGAGCATAGCTAGATAATACACTGAATACCTAACCAAGATCTAGTTTTAGCAACATCATACTCAGGATCATCTTAAAAGTAATCAGTAAATAAAAGCACCAAGACATTCAGATAAAATGAAAATAAAAGCTTTCATCTCCTACCAACCTCGGCTCAGGGGGAGCCCAGGCCCACCCTTAAGTTCCCAAAACAATACATGGCCACACAGCCCAAATCTACCAACCACGTCCATACATGCCCACCCTCACAATTCTCAAGAGCTTACGACCTTAGTCCAATAACCTTCACAGGTGCCAGTCACCATTCGCGCCAGTGGCCAGCCTCAGGCCGCCTCTGCTTATGCCCCTGGTCACAGCTGCTGCAGTGCAACCGCGGTCTTGTATGTTGTTGCTTTTATTACTTGCTTTTCTTTTTGTTTTTTTTCTAGCAAAGTCTTTTACTTGTTGATTTTTTTCGTGAATGTTGTTGATGTCTTGTGGGTTCTCTTATACGTTGTTTAATTTTTAAAAAAAATATCCCTAAACCTAAGTGAGGAGGTCGTGATGGAAATGCAACAAATTGTAGCTAATTGCCAACGAGTGTGCCATTGAAGAGGAGTTAGCCACTGTTGTGGTGATTTTTTGTAAGAGTTAGGTCTATATTTGGAATATCAATACCAAGGGGGAACCCTATTGAAATAGAGTGCAAGGGCGGAAAGTGAGGAAAGAACAAAAAAGAGAGTAACCATTCTAATAACCCTGTTTTTTGACCTTTCTTTCTCCCAATCTTGCACACACGCTGTTAATTGGTTAATGATGAATGCTTTGAGGTTTCCGATATGTCTATCTTGTTTGCTGTATTTCTATCATCTATTGTCAAGTATCCATGCCACTTGTAATTTGTGAACTCGCAAGCGTCAAGGAATTAGCTTCTCCTTGTAAACTAATATCAAGTTCTGTGAGATATTTTCACATCCATGAGTAGTACCTTAAGCATAATTCTTGCTTCCAAGTAGTTTTTGCATGTCGCTAGTTTATAGGACCACCCTCGCGATAAATACCAGCTCCTCCCCTGCCTACCAGCTTCATAATGAGTAGACCATGATTCCCCAAGTGCCTTTGTGATAGCTAATCATTCAAAACAATGCTGTATATATATGTATGTGTGTGTATCGACACCGAAAACCTGGTGGTAGATCTATCTACCCACAAGGCATAACAATTTGTTCTTCCCATCCATATTAATTAATCGAAATTAGAACCAGGGTCATCAGACTACTTGACCAACATGCCTCAAACAAATCGTTTCTAAGCACGACAATTGCAATTTCAACCTCCAAAACAAATTGTTCCAGCCTAGATCCGCTCATCGTTGTCTACAAAACCCTAATAAATTCAAACATTCCAGGGACCCAAAAATCCTAAAAACAATACAAAAAAACTTCCTCTACACCCCAACCGCAGAACCAATAATGCAAAATCGGATATAATTACCTAATACAAGCGACATGAAAACGAGAAATTGAAACTCAACCATCAATATGATGATATTTACAACAAAAAAAAGGAAAAAAGTTGAATACACAAATAAAGAAAGAAACCTGTTTCCGCAAGAAGTCCCAAGAGCTTGGCGTATCCATGGAAAATCAAAAGAAGGGAGGAATCTGCGTTCCCCCCGATCAATTCAATTGGTGTTTTAATAAAAGAGAGAGGCGCAGAGAAATTCTTCAGAATCGTGAGAGACCATAGACGCTTGAAGACGAAGGAATCTATTTGATTTGCTCTCAGAGTAAATTACGGACTTGGTCCCTGCGATTTGCTGTTTTTTTATAAAACTCGTACATAGGCTTCCACTTTTTTCATATACCAAGTCCGTTAAAGCAAAGGGCATAAGAGGCTTTTTCCATCTTCCATCTTCCACTTTTTAAACATTTTTTAATCAACTTTTCTTAACCAAGGGGTAAAGTGAATATATTACAACTTGGAGGGCCAAACACATTAAAGTTATATATTATATATACAAACGAATCTATATCTATACTATATTATAAATCATTTGACTAAAACTCTTAAAAACTCTTAAACTCTTAAAACTCTTAAATTCTTAAAAACTCTTAAACACGTTCATCCCTATCCGATTTCATCCCATATCCGAATTCGTGTAACTAACTGCAAATAAACACAATCAAATACA